TTTTTTTTTTTTCGAGACAGTCTCACTTTGTCACCCTTGGTAGAGTGCTATGGTGTCACAGCACACAGCAACATCAAATTTTTAGTTGAAGTGATTCTCTTGCCTCAGCCTGCCAAGTAGCTGGGACTACTGGCATGCTCCAACATTTTTGGCTTTTCTTTCTTTTTTGGAACCACAGTCTCATTTTATCACTCTTGGTATAATACCATGGCATCACAACTCACAGCAACCTCAAACTCTTAGGCTCAAGCCATCTTCCTGCCACAGCCTCGCCAATAACTGGAACTACAGGCACCCTCCAGAACAGCAGCCCCTTTTTTTATTTTTATTTTTTTTCTGAGACAGTCTCAAGCTGTTGCCCTGGGTAGAGTGCCATCGCATCATAGCTCACAGCAACCTCCAACTTGGGCTGAAGCAATCCTCTTACCTCAGGCTCCCAAGTAGCTGAGACCATAGGCACCAGCCACAACACCTGGATATTTTTTTTTTGGTTGCAGTTGCCATTGTTTTAGCTTGCCCGGACCAGGTTTGAACCTGCCAGCTTCAGTGCACATGGCCAGAGCCCTACCACTGAGCTATGGGCGCTCCCCTCCTTTTTCTATTATTTTTTGACAGAGGCTCACTATGTCACCCTGGGTAGATGCTATGGTATCACAGCTTACATCAACCTTAAAGTCTTAGGCTTACGCAATTCTCTTGCCTCAGCCTCCCAAGTAGCTGGGACTACAGGCACCCGCCACAACACCTGGTTATTTTTGTGGTTGTAGTTGTCATTGTCATTTGGCAGGCCCGGGCAGGGTTTGAACCTGCCAGTTCCAGTTTACATGGCTGGTGCCCTAGCTGCTGAGCTATAGGTGCTGAGCCAGGATCCTCTAAAATTCTAAGAGCAATCTATTTTCTCTTCCCACCTTCTCACCACTGCTTATCACACACCTGTTTTGTTTTTTAATTTATTTTAATTTATTTATTTTTTGAGACAGAGCCTCAAGCTGTCCCCCTGGGTAAAGTGCCATGGCATCACAGCTCATAGCAACCTCCAACTCCTGGGCTCAAGCGAGTCTCCTGCCTCAGGCTCCCAAGTAGCTGGGACCACAGGTGCCTACCACAACACCGGCTA